CAGTTCAGAGAAAAAGAGGAGGAAGAAGAAGAGAGAGGATGAGGAGGGAGAAGGACACCTTTTTAATGCCGATCGCGCTACCGGTGGAAATAATTAACTTTTCGGCTCCGACCGATGAGCCATCAAGCATCGGCCTACACGTAACGACCAACAAGACGCCATGGTGCCCTCTAATCGTCTAAGCAACGAAATTATAATACCGATTTGCATTTGATACAGATTTGTCACAAATAGGGTTATCATTGTTACTTGATCAGAAAATAATGCACGAAGTATGGATACTGAACGCAGTGTACTTAACGGCGTTCACCAACTCAACTTCCTGAGAAAAATCCCCTATCCGACTTTCCTACTTGACGCCTCAAAATTGAGGTTTAGAAAGAAAAAGGGCGGCTAATGGCATGGCGCACCGTCCGCTCCTCCCCCTCTCACCAGTATGCATTAGATCCCCCCCCCCCTCCGATTATCTTACTACTCCTATTTAATATTCTGTTGCAGGTGAGTGAAAATATTGGCAATTAATCATCACCCTCTTTATGAGTATAATGACCCACGAGATTTTCCTTGATCAATGATTGCATCTTCGTGACGCTCGAAACTAACTTACCGAGCATGAAAATATTTGTGCTCGAGACCAGGAAAAAGACGTATAGATCCTTCCTCTGATTATCGCATGCACGACGCAGAATTGGCGATGATTGGCCGAGCTGATTGGCTTGTTTGAGTGCCCCTGCTCATTGGATTGCGGTTTGAGTGTCCCAATTTCATTGGCGAGCCGTATCAGGCACGGAACTTAAGGAGCGTCTTTCCGCAGCGTCTGACGTCTAGCGGCACGGCGCGGCGGAATGGATACAAATCAACATACTCCTCGATCAAGAAATTGCCTATTCGTGATAATTAAAGGCGTCTCGTCAAATGCGGTGACAATATGCTCTTGTCTTAAGGAATCGATTCTCGGACGGAATGATTTCACTCAAAGAGCAAATTTCACCGTCCTAGATGAATCCACGGTTGTCGAGGAGATTGTAGATTGAGAAATAGACTGTACGAGAAAGTTCGTTAGGGGTCTTGAGTCGTATCTTCCGTAAGAAATTAAGGATGTTTCATTTCAAATCTCCTTAAGCCGTCAAGAGAGGTAGACCGTAAAATGACGAAGATAAAGACTTCTTCTTCACCAAATTTTTCCTCAAATGCGAGGTATTTTGTAGGCGGTGCTATAATTCTGCACAAATCTATTAAACGTTAGAGGACTATAGGGAAAAGAGAGTTAAATCTAGAAGGAAAGAGTTAATGGTATATCTATCCATCATTCCGTAAAACGTTTTCACCGATCCAGGAAAAAATTAAGTCCTAATATCTTGCCAGCCACTTTTTAGATACAAATGATCCCGAAACAATATCACAGAGCCTGCTATCTAAGTTTAAAGATCATTGATATAATGATATGCAAAAAACTAGCATTATCTTGAGTTTGATGGATTAGACCAACCGCTTTAAAAGCCGGCTTTCTCATTTGGTTTTCACTGAGACCGACATAAACTGAGAGCTTCCGACGCTGAGTGACTGAAAATATTTAATTGAGTGAGTTAAGATGAGAAATAGAAGACGGGTACATGTACAATGCTAATTTGTTGAGGAAAAGGAGTGCAAAATTAATGAGGAGATACAATTTTACCAGGAAAGAAAGTTCACAAGAATCCAAGAGTCGGTTTAAATCTGATCCAAATACTCCATAGACCAAAGAGCCGCCTTGTCCATTGGAAAGGTAAACGCAACTAATGAGAAAATAATCTTGACACGGCATACGCAATATCTCTCTAGACCAGAATCCCAAATTTTTCCGCTGGGCAACTCGAGAGGCCCAGGTGAAACTTAGGACCTTTCCTTGTTAAAGAGAATGAGTCAACGCATACGTGCAAACGTGTGCAAGTGCAGTGTAACCTGAATATCCAGAAATTAACCGTCCATTTGATGAATATGCTTCAAATTCGTTCAGAAATTCAACCCATTCAGCCTTTCTGATCATAATTTCGAGCCGTATGCAGTTCGTCATCTTCCGGCCAAAGTATCACAAGCGCCATGCGACGTTTGAAAATTTCCGCAGCCATTTTAGTTTCTTACATAGATATTGTTCAAGGAAGCTGTCCGAAAATTTCACTGAATTTCCTTTGTGCTGCCGATAACATTCAGTGCAATTTCCAGTGCAATGCCGTGGAATTTCTTGGACCAGAAAATCAGACTCAGCGGGTCATTTTACAGGGGACCAGCAGAAACGAAGTCTATGTTTACGCACCTTTTTTATTTTCCACCTTTGCCAGGTCATATCTTAAATTCGTAGGACGCATTTTAATCAAAATACAAACCCTGAATCCATCTATTATAAATGTCTGCGTTTTTACAAGGGAATGTCCCCCAAGGATTGACAACCTGGTAAAAATTGGCAATAGAATCTGTGTTCCAAAATACCATAGACCTACGGCCGGTTGTAAGATTTCCAATAGCTTCTATAGCCGGCAACACAATTTCTGATAGCCTTTTATAGCCGATGGCGACTAAGCAACAGCCTGGCGATAAAGTGTATGCTAAACGTTACTAATTACGGATGCTAGGACTTAGTGAGTTTTTGGACTACCGCTCTCTGTTTGGGCAGTAGTATCATGATTTATTTTGCGAGGAAAGCTCCGTACTTTTGAAGGATGCCTGCCATTTCGTATGATACTGTGCAATACCTCTGGTGTGAAATAGTTGCTTCAAGCGCCGTGGTACGCTGCGGCGCTGCGCGGCGGGCGGGCAGCCAGCGCGGTACTCGCATTGGCGCCTACAAACCTAACAGGGATACTTCACGCATTGCGCAATGCGTGTAGTATCCCTGTTAGGTTTGTAGGCGCCAGTGTGCTGCCGCTCCGCTTTGTGTTAGGCTCTAATATTTAATCTCGTGGAGTCAGCGTTTTTCAACTCATGACTTTGAAATGTTTGCACACTCTGTGTGGATTATTCTCATTTTAATTGATGAAAAAAAAAATACGTAGTAAAGGAAAATATAATGTGCGTTTTGTAAATATTAAGGTGATTCCGTACAAACTTAAGGATTTACAAAGCACACAATTTCTACACAATTTCTCATAGCCTTTTATAGCCGATGGCGAAAAAGCAACAGGCAGGCGATAAAGTGTAAAGCCCAGCGATAGGAACTATAGCCCGGCTGTATAATTTTGTATCGCTTCGTGTAGCCCGGCCGTATGATTTTTTTCCACTTTCTACAGCCAGCTACATGATTTTCTATCGCACTCTTCAGTCGGCTATAGGAGCTCCTATGGTATTTTGAAACGCAGCTCCTATCGCCAATTTTTACCAGGGCAACGAACGAACCCTGTGCAACATTTGGAGTCCTGGAGGAACATAATAGTGTATCACTGTACAGCTCTTTATTTTACTCAATTGTGCTCACACTTGAGTTTTCTTCAATTTGGTGCGGTGACGAGGCGTTAATGATCGATAATCGATATTTCCCCATTTGAAGCTGTGTTAGAAAATCGATTGTTAAGGAGTTCGTAGCGAACTCCCTGTCTATCGATCCTTTTCCGTAGGTTTAAATGGGAGATCAATCGGTATATCGCAAAGCACGCCACGCCGCTGATATGGTGGAATATTACTGGGGTGTAGCCGTTTCAAGAGGAACTTTTGATGAATGAAGTAAATTATTAGTACGTGGGGCAAAGGTGAGAAGAGGGGTAGCGAGAATCGAGGGGGCAGTAAAAAACAGGGGGCACAGATCAATGGAAGCTGGTGGAAACTAGGAGCATGAATAATGAATGGCCTAGTAATCAAATTCTTTTATCAATGAACAAACAAGTTTGAGGTTATCTCCGCTGCCGATAGGTTGAAAGATCGAACGGCACTGCTATATCCAGACGGACTCGACTCTTGTCCGTCTCTCTTATCGGCGCCTCGATAGTTCGCTAACCTAATTCCCGTCTAAAATTTTACACGTCATCCTGTTATCATTAGATGAACTACTACCTAAACAACTTTTCGTACAAAAGTATGCGGTAAAGGGCTAGAACAGAGGATTCGATTAATGGATATAGAATCATTTATAAATCTGCAACATTACAAAAATACTTTATTTTGTTTCAGTCAAAACTGCAAATGAAAGGACATCAACTTATAAAATCACCAGAATATTATTCTCTACAGGAAAAATAATCGATCAACAGCGACCGCTCTAGTAGCATTATTTTTGATATTGCTAGGTAAGCGCCACATTTACGCGTACGATCCTCAATTGAACATGTACAAGGAGAAAACAAAAAAATATTAATACTGGGATTCCTAACACCTGAAGATGGAAAAGTAGATGAAGAATGTAACTTTAACAAACCTTACACTAATATAATTACTTATAAGGAGTTAGCAATTAAGAATTATATAGCAGCAAAAATACATATTCTTTTGTGTACTTCGGCCTATAAAAATCGTGTACATAATACTCAGCAAAACAACAGCAATTCTTCCTCAAAAAATAATATGAAACCTGCAAATGACTAGCTATTTTTGCTACGTCTGTTTGAGTTTCAAACACGGAGAGAAAAACTTCGTGCATGGGACCCGAAGTTGAGGTCATATGGATCTCTGAAGTTTTTGAAGTACAACTGCCGAAGTTCGGGTCAGAAATCTGAAGCTTTCGGTATGTACCGGAGTACTTCAGATGTTTGACCTGATGCGCGATCCAAAAACTTCAGAGATATTACCATATACCATATTACCTCAACTTCGGGTCCCATGTACGCAGTTTTTTTCTCCGTGAAGAGTACAGTATTTTTTCATGATTTCTTTATGCACTTCCTGGTGAGGTTTTTGACTTTCAGGATGTCTCAATAATTTTATTTTGAATACGTTGGCAGTGTTGTAATGAAAGAAGATAGAATTTGTTTTTGGGAATGGTAGCCAATGCTAAATGATTCAGCCAGACTCATTTTAGAGGTTTTTATTTATCGAAATTTTCGGGCTACAAGTCATCATCTGGACTTACAGAAACAGAAAATAACATGATATGTGCTTGATTAAAATTTCATTTGAGAATGAAGGAACTATAATTGTGTTCACTGATTATACAACTGATCAGAATTATCTCTTTTCAATAGAATCATGATAATTAGTGAACACAACTACGGTTCCTTCGTCTTCTAAAAAAATGTTACTTTTCTGTTAATATAAGTCCTGATAATGGCGCATAGCCTAAAAACTTAATCACAGAGTCTGACTAAAACATTTAGCACATGTTTGGCACCTTTGCCAAACATATTTAAACAAATTGATACTGCCTACAACTAGAACGCTATAACGCATAAAAAAGAACACGTACACCAGTTACACCAGCGTCTGCACTGTTGAATCGAATGATAGTTGACAAATGAATTCAATCGATAAATAACATTGCGAAAATAGGGGTTTATCGATCAAGATCTTCGATAAGTGAACGATTCAACAATCGACCTGCAGAACAAGTTTTTCTATGTTTTTGTCTCTGGGTTGTTTCGAGTTTACCTTATTTCACTATCATTCTTTGCTGTTGTTATGCAGAGTGATCACAAATCTGTAATTTGCGCTATGCACTAGTACACCTTATGATACAAACCCTTTTTACAGACAAATATTATAATGTGCGAGCTTTGGAGTTTCCTCTCAGAATCATTTTGCAAAATTGACTAACACTACTTTTATTTTTAGTTCGAAGTCATCGGAGCCTTCTGGCCAAATTGACGATAAGCAGCTTGATGGAGAAAAGCTAGAATTAGAAAGAAGGACTCAGCTGGGCTGCAAGCGTTCTTATTTCTTTTGACTGCTCAGAGTACTGCGATGAACTCGAATGAAAGCTTGGCGAACAAAAATTTGACCAGGTATCACAAGAGTCTCAAAGTAAGTTACAATACTTAAAAACAGGTACAAAAAGACTGTAAAAAAAACTCGAGCACGCTTAAAATATTGAGATACGTACTCGTAACATCACATTCTCTTAAAATTAAGACAGGATACGATAAATTTAAAACAATCTTTGGAAGGAAACTTAAAAGTACAAAGGATTCCAAGGACTAGAAAACTGTACAAGATTGCGTGGAAGTGTAGACGATGGGATAGGAGAACTTAAAATACTAGGTAGTAGTTGAAGTACATGTGGACTTGCCGCTCTTTTGACAGCAGTATACGACCCGAGATCGGAATACCTGCAGAATAAGAAAAAACGTCAAAGATAAAAAATATCAGGGACATTCTATTCTCACGATGGTTCTGTTGCACTTGTGTGATACTGCTGAATGAGTGGACTATTAAAGTGTTGAGGTCGCACAAAAATCATGATGCGGGCATTGAAAAATTTAGAAATTCACTCGATTTTTGTGTTTGCTGACACATTTTTCCACATTGCCGGTAACCAGGTTCACATATAAATGTAAAATTTTATCCATCTTCCTCATATGAATCACATATTGCAGAAAGGGCACTATTGCAGAAATGTTAACTGTTCAGAAAATGCAAAAAACTGATTTGAGTAAACTATAAGCTTTTGGAAAAAAATTTTTCGATGTTTTCTTTTGTCCCCCAAGTAGACTGACAATTTCCATAAAAAATTTTTACATGATACTCTTTCTGGGTTGTAAATAATGACACTTGAAGGAAGATCATTAGTGCCCTTTCTGAAATACATGGGGGAAGGAGCCATAAAGAGTGATAGAATGAAGCCAGAAAATTATTTTAGCCCTTGTTTTTCATCTCAAATGTATGGCAATGATGCATGTCTATAGCGAAAGTTGGAAATTGTACATCTCCATTGCAACGTTTCAAAATTTCTGCTCTCTTTTTATACTATTTTTTTAAAGAGAACTAATAGAGATTTTCCCATGAAATTTTCCGAAAACAATCTTGATGGTGTGAAGAAAGTTTACACAAAATTTTAATAGAGAATACTTAAGAACAAAAAAAGAAGACGAAATAAAATTGGCAATGTCGCAATTGATGGTATACGATTTCGAACTTTCACCATGTGGTTTGCCCGTAGCTATGTAAATTTTAAAAATATTTCTGGCTTATTTCAAGTCAAGAAATTAAAAAAAAAAAAAAAAAAAAAAATGTATCCTTTGAGGTTCAATAGCGTAGTAATCTTCTACCTACTTCCTCATCCAACCTGTTAAGGGCTCTTCTCACTTCCTACATTCAAGGTTCAATTCTCACTCCTTTCATTTTCAGCGTGAGTGAAGCGTGTAGCGTGATCACTGTCGTTTTGAAACGCAAAACTAACCTCTCAATCGTATCAAAACAAAACAAACGACGAGTTGCCGCTGCCAATGCGCGCGCACCCTGCAGTGGGCATGTACTGCAGAAACGGCACTATATTGCTGCAACAGTGCCCTTTCTGCTCTACGTGAGAAACATAACCCCTGTCAAAAACACATAAAAAATGCGAATATAGTGCCCTGTCTGCACTACAGGGTGTGTCTACATACACTAATGCGAAAACCGCAAAAAACTCAATTTCGAAAAAAATGTCGATTGTGCCCTTTCTGTAATAGCTGATTCATATATGATTTGTGTCATTTGAGAGTATTCTCTCCTTCCTTGTATCCATAGCAGGATTGCGAAACCACGTACCTCCGTTTGCGACGTTACAGACTTAGGTTTTTCTTGGAAAACTGGTCGACGTAATTCTTAGGAAACTTCCTTGGTATTTCTCCTCTGTTATTAGGAAATTCTGTTTCAATTTCGGGCTGCGTGGCTAACTTTTTTTTCTTAAGAAAATAAAATAGGAGCAGAAATGTTAAAACACCGCTGAGGAGATACGTGATTTCGCACTTTGGTCATCAATGTAGAAAATGAGAGGAACAACATATCGACGGTGTGAGTCGGCAATCACATATCTATCTCGTTTGCGGTGTCTAAAAATCTCCACCTCTATGTTATTTTTCCGAAAGAGAACAAATTGTCATCATTCCTTGAAGATTTTGCAGAATTTTCCTCGCCTGGAGAGGCAAAATCACGGCAGTTTTAAAGAGTTGCCGTTGAGTAGTTTTCAGTTTAAAAAATGAAGTATGATAGGAAGTCTGCGACGTCGCAAACCGAGTTATGTGATTGCCGACTTACACCGTCGATATGCTTTAAAACAACTGTAATCACATGTGTCAAAGATCGAAAGTGCTTGCATTCGCAGAGAATTCGAAAATGCGGGGGACGAAAATTGCAAATCGAGTGGCAAAAAGTGAACTATTTTACGCGAGAAAAGTCGATTCATTCATCTGCATCCCCTATAAGCGCGCATTAGACCCCCTGCATGAGTTATATCAACGATCATAGGATCGTGGAAAAGATAAATTTCAATTGAATTTCGGATCTGTTAAGACCAGAAGCACAAAAGTATGACGTAAAAGAGTTTGACAGGGCTCCATTTAAAAACTTTTTAGGTTGCTTGCGGCGTGTGGCTTTACACTTAGCGTGAGCGGGGGTGGGGGGTAGCGGGTAGCGTTGGTTGGTTTTTGGTTGGTTCGTTGTATTCTCGCGGTCGATGTCGATGCAACGATTACTGATGCATACTGTAATGTGTTTATTGACAGGAACCAACCGAGCGGAACCAAGAGGTGACCACATTACCGCAACATTACATTTATACACTTTCCTTGCCGTTTAGAGCATTCACAGATAGAAAGAGTCACATTTAAATGTTCTCACCAGCAAGCACTCGGTAATAATGCACACATCCCTAAGCGTTAGTTTCACATCTGTCGCAGGCTCATTTTCAAATCGGGAATTTCTTTAAAAACCCGGGCGTTTTTTTTTTTAAGAAACAACAGGGTTTTGCTCAACTCTCGAATAATCTGTATCTTATGGAGCGCAGATCAATTTCTAGATAAATGTGTTAAATCACTACTAAAACTTCTCAAGATCAAATACGTAACAAAGAAGTTTGACTACGTGTTTGTGAGGAGCATTTTCTTATCAAGAATAAAAAATCGAGAGAAAATATAGAATCTCAAACTAAGCACCTATCTGGGCATTGTTAGCCTGCGACATATCGAACCGATCCATCCGATGCTTCCATGTTAGGTTTAAAAAACTACCTCTAATCATACTCGACTGACGAGGTTTATTACGATTCAAAATAAACATTTGAATTATTATGTATTTACAACATCGTGTGAGTTTCCCCTTACTTGATGTGGTATAAATCTATTGACTTTACATCTATTGAAAACTTAAAACACTTCGCTCCCGCATAAAGGCTATCTAATCGTGTTTGGACGGAAAATGATCGGACACTCGCATGTTAAAATAAAATGAGGGTGCAGGACCACTAATTCACATTTTTTTAGTTTTGTGCATTATTTGCGCTGCATAGATACTACTTAAGTAATTTACATTACACTAAATGTAAGTTCACGAGCCCTACGTATTAATTTTTACAAGAACTGTCAGTAAACTCAAGAGCCCAACCATATTACCGCTTGACATGTAGCGTTGGTGTTTCTCACGGGCGTTAAAGTTACTCAACAGCCCCCACTGTTCACTGTGGTGATTCTTGAGGGCTGGCAATACTGTTCTTCTTCCATTTAAATATATGTAAAACAATCGATTCTTAGGGAAGCAGCTAGCATCATCAGGAATCGATATTTTCAATGGATTTCAATGGTGGGAGAAAAGTGTTGCCAGCATTCAAGAATCGCCACTGTGGACCAGTGGGGGTTGTTGAGTAACTTTAATGCCCGTGAGAAATACTGGCGCTTCATCTTAAGCGGTAATATAGTTGGGTTCTTGAGTTTACGAACCCAACAGTTCTTGTAAAAACGAACGTTTAGAGGTTGTAAACCTACAAATATACAATCAATATTCAATGGATTTGAATGAGTATTATAACAGTCTTGCCAAATTGTTGGAATCGCCACTGCTAGAGCTCATGGAACCGACTGATATAACATTTGAATTACTCGCTAGTTTTGTGCGGTTGAATACTTCTCAAGTTCGCACAAGCTAATTGGGGAAAATGTCATGCTACAATGAAATATTAAGGGAAATGCCATTTGCTTAGTCGGGGAGAAACTGTTTCCACTTTGATTTATGAAAATTCCAGCGCGATCTCTAAAAAACACCTTTTCCCTGGAGAGAAACCACCAATTATTAGTTTACCGGAAAACTGAGAGACAATTGAAGCTTTAATGCACAGTAATGTTTAAACGCGTAATTTTCCTCTTCCATAATTTATTGTCATTAAAAGTGCTTATGACTGTGGAATTTTACTTCTTTGTCTGGACCTTAACCTCTCTTAACATTTTTGTATAGTTCTATGGAAATGTATTGTATGAAGACGCTCACAATAATAAAATATAATTCTGCGCAAAGCATGATGGGACACTTACCAAAGACTTTCATTAGTAATTTTATCCAAGGCCAACATCGAGAACCATCATGATGATGAAACCGATGACGCAACCCCATGTGGCTACTTTTCCATTGCCACTGAAACATAAGTTAAAGTAGAGTCAGTATGAATTCATCTATATTATAAAGACGTGTTATTTCGATAAATCGCAATCATGCGCATCAGAATAATGAGGGTCTTATGGGTAATCGAATCAGTGAGAACGAAAACACACCAACTCGGTAACTCGAAAGTGCTTAATTTCCATTAAAGGCAGTTAAGTTACATAAAGGTCATTGAAGTTGGCGCATCTGTTCCAACCTGGACCTTTAAAGTGTCCATAAGTACTTGTCTTTCGGCAGCCAATTTTTTTTTCTTAAACTAACTTCTTCAACTACTGAGCAGTTTTGTGTGTGTCTTGATTATTTTCATTTCTCCGAGTTAGTGTGTTTTCGTTCTCAGTGATTCAACTGCCTTCAAAAGCATGATTTCCGTCTTCAATTATAATGATACTCTCTCTACGCATTGTCGTAGAGTTAAATTAGTTGCCTGGACACATCTAAGATCACGGATTTCACCGTACACTCCTCTGGGAGCGATTGTTACGACCATGATTATACGAAGGAAGAACTGTCTCCCCATAAAAAATGCAAAATAATCAGTACTCAAATCTTCTATCTTTAATTCAAAACTGTATGCTTTTCTAATTATTCACAAGGAAGCTTGCAAATTTCCAGCGATTGCTAGTTGCCTACGAGACATACATATTATATAAAAAAATTTAACAAAAACAGGGGATGAATGTTAAGGTACAGAAAAATTCCAATCGACTCAGAATATGGGCAACTAATCTTGACACGAAAGAATTTTGAGGAAGGGCAATTTTTTTGAAGGCAACTGTGAGAGATTTTCAAACCAATCAAATAATTACACGGATTCTGATGACTTTAATACAATTTCAAAGGAGGTGGAGTAAGACTAAAAATTGAGTTTCGACGCCCGAATTTTCACACAATAAAGTTAGAGTAACGCTGGTCAAAATTATCTACCATTTATTATAATACTTCCAAAAATGTTATGCAATATTACTACACACACTGACTGGACCTTCCAGTTAAATACGAACTTGCACAAACTAAACAAGCCATAAGTGTGTAGGATTGTTCTTTTTTTTGAGCAATGCGGGCAATACTATGAATTCGTTGGGTGAAGCTGAAACAGTTCTCTGCTTTGATCTGGAAGGAGACAGTTGCACACCCAAGTGACGACCCTCCATCGGCAAGTATTGTCTTTGCGACCCTCTCCTGGTCTTGGTCCCCGCTGTTGAGGAGTTTTCAACCATTTCGGTTTCTTTTTTTTCCTCAACGGATCCGGATTGGAGGCGCTTTTGGTATGAAAATAAACAAGGGGAGCGTTAGACTCAAGATGAGCGCTTTGTTATTAATAGCTGCATCCGAGGGGGGCACGGGCGAGACGAGGGGGGTCGGCATCCTTGCCAGATAGTGCACTTTCCCCCATTTAAACTTATGTAAAAATGCCACGTATAATTTCATAATCTGGCGACGTTGGGGGTCGGCCGGGCTCCGGAAGTAAACTTAATTCTGGCTGACACCATGTCACATCAGTATCTTTCCCCATTCTTTCCTCTTTTTTTTCCTCCGTTTTATCTTTGCACCTCGGGTTAAATTACTGAACGCACCTGCTTACACAGGTGTTACACAAAACAAAACACCAATTGCGTAGCTTTTCGAGTACGGATGACCCCCTCTCCGCCCCCCTCTCCGTCCCCCCGCGACTTCCCCAAGCTCTTCTGTCAATCTGTGTTTCGTTGTTGGTGCACCTTCCGCGCGTGCAGTTATAGCAGCGTTGTCGGATGGCAGATGTTCCCGATCATAGACCTCGGATTGTTCCCGGCTAATTTCCAATACAGGGTGATTCATAGAGCCATTCGTCCACTCTTCTTCGTCAAATATTCAAATTGATCAGGGGCACCACAAAATTTAGAAAATGAAATCCCTGACATTTCCCTGATTTCTCTGACACTTTTGAGTAAATTTCCCTGACAATTGAAGTTATGTCATATGGTAAAAAATGCATAATTTGAAAGAGTTTTCGGGCAAAGTTGTTGTTTTAAACGTCAAATCCTCTCTAGAAAGCTAATAAAGGTAAATTAAAAATTATCCTCGAAAACTTTCGTCATTTCCCTGCCATTTCCCGGTATTCTCTGATCTTGGCAACCCTGATTGCTCCACAGTTGATTTGAAACACTATGAAATTTGAAATTTTGGTTGGTCATTTTATCGGGCTTGATTGATAAGGGTTTTGTACTCACTTTTTCTTCCCGATGGAGATTGATGTTTTACTTTCAAGCGATGCGCATTTCGAGCTTTACGCTCATCTTCAGGCTACAATTAGAAAACTTGTACCGCTTGTTTGACGCGTATCCGCACCGCGGTACAAGTTTTCTAATTGTAGCCTGAAGATGAGCGTAAAGCTCGAAATGCGCATCGCTTGAAAGTAAAACATCAATCTCCATCGGGAAGAAAAAGTGAGTACAAAACCCTTACTATGAAATTTGTTAAAATGTTACTATCCGAACAAATTTCTCGATTTTTTGGCTCAAGATTTGAATCTGATCTATGGTAAAAGTGACGAAAAATAGCTTTTATTGAACGAAGAATGAGCCCAAAATGTTAAATTTCTAACTGCAGTCGTTCAAAAGTCAACGGGGGTCCAAACTTTTGGATCACCCTGTGTAGACTCTTCCGGTTATGACGTCTGCCAAAAGGTGTTCGTTCTCATAGTCACTCTCTATTAAGACACACGTCTTCTAAATAAAACAATTAAGCCGGCTTTCATCCGAACGCATAATATTCTCCCCGCACCGGCCAAAGCTCAGCTCTTGCTTCATGGTTTTTTGTCTATTATTCATTTTTGTTTGTCATAAGCGAGAGTCTAAAAGCTTTTAAGTGGTAATTATTTTCAGTAACAGCCACACAATTTACGTTCTTCATACTTTTCTGTGATCAACGACTCCCTTTTAGATCATCAATCCAGCTCGGGGCGGAGGGAGGGGGGGGGGCTGGGGCCATCAGCCTTTGAAAATATCAATAAATAAGAAAAAATCATAATAAATATCATACAGCTTAAGCATAACCTTCTAAGGATGAAAAGACCCAGAACAGAGGGGTAAACTAGACGTATTTCTGCTAAACGGAACCAGAGAAAGTAACATAGACAGACGCATAAAAGCTCGCCTTCATGGGGAAAGATACTTCCTAGCGAGACCGCGGAGGTCGAATAGTTGTATCTTTGAGCAATATCATAATCAGTGTGGCAGCAAGTAGATTAGCAAGTAAATGCGATGACTTTAGAAAATTGCGTGCAGCGACGCAGAAAAAACGCCTTCCTAGGGAGAGATACTGCCTAGCGTGGCTGCGGAGGCCGAATAGTTGCATCCTTGAAAAGTCCCATTATCAATGTAGTAGCAAGGTGACTAGCGAGGAGCTAGCCCTTAGGGCCGATTGTAAGACCTCTGGTCAGCAGGGCCGGATTTACCTACTTGCAACCCGTGGGCCGCCTGTATTTTGCCGCCCCCTTCTCATTCGTTTTGAAACATCAATGAAAACCATCAAGTGAACGTGCCAGCGAGGGTGGGGTGCATAAGACGCGTTTACACGTGTTGGACACATTTTTTACGAAGCCCCGTCAACATTACCAGCAAAAGTTCACGGAACTTTGCGCGAAAGTTAAGTTCCGTGAACCTATCTCTGTGTGAACAAGGCCTTCCATTTATAAGAAATGAACGAAAAAATTATGAAAGAACAACCTGACCGCACTGGGTTTGACACAATGCGCGAAGCATCCCCACAGTCAAATAGGCGCTGTGCGTTTCACACCGACCGCTTCTGAACGCACTGTGTTTGACGAAATGCGTGAAGTATTCATGCAGTCTTGTAGGCGCTATGCGTTTCATGCCTACCGCCGCGCCGCTCCGTTCCAGGTTAAATTGCGTGTTTGGTTTCTCTCTTAACTAAACTAATTAAAGGTGTTGCCTCTTGTATCACCGAAAGACGACATGATGATTTGTTCAATTTGACACAGGAAAAACTGACACAATAATAAGTCAACCAACAACTTGTGTTACTTCGTGTTTTCCTTCCCACATTATTCGAAGATTTTGGTTACTTTTTCTCACTGTGAATCTAAAATACTTCGGTCAGAGCTTTTAGGGAGTTAACCGAAGAGTCGAGGTTCTTCAGATGTGTGATCCAAACTCCTGCGGATAAAACTCAATTTTAGCATACATATTCTGCATTATTTGAAGGTTGAAAATTGAAGCGCTGGGTGCAAAACGGGCATTTCTTGGTTGCAGTTTCTCAGAATCTCTGCAAATGTTTCGTTCCTCATATTTAAAGCAAATGTCTGGCATTCGTTGAAACTCTTCCTGAATTTTCTTTATGATTTTACTATGCTGAAAACAAAAATTTTAGAAAATTCATCCATTACTGTCTCCTCTGACCTATAGATTAGCGATGGACACCGCAACTAAGGAATGCCCTTTTTGAACCCAACGCCTCAATTGACGAATCATACCTCTCTTAGTTATTTTAGTACATGGGCTGTTACTCTCTGCGACATTGAGTAACCTTTGGTTCGGTAAGCTTTGGTTTTATAGTTCTGTCTTGAAACATTTCAGTAAATTCGTAGAAGCCTATTTTTCCCCTTTGCCTCTTACCCGGTTCGTTTCCCTCTTGCTTTCTCTACTTCTTAGGGGGCCATACCACCATGCCCCCCCCCCATTCCTCGGATCCGCCACGGCGCAGGGTATGCTTCCCGCACGACGCGAGACTCGGCTGGGCACTGCAGTTTGATGGCGCGCGGTGTTGCCGCGTTGTTGCTCGTTGCGGTGCAGAAGAATCGGGATTGCGGGGCACGACGAGGCGACGGGAGGAGGGGGATGTTTTCTTAGCGTCTTTGCGCCGAGGCGGATGCTCGATATATTTGCCACGTCCTCTTAGCAACAGAGATTCGCGAGCTCGCGGCCGCGATCGAGACGGGCCGGCATCGGGCGCGGTTGCCGAATCGCCGCCCGAAA